GTTCTAGCATTTTTTGCCATTTTTGTCTTTTTAGTTCCATTTAAAATTAATGTAAAAATAAATGTGGTAAAACAAGCAGAAGAGACATATTGAGAGGAGGGTGAGATGAAAGTAGGAATGAAAACTGGAACAGTATCTCTGACCATCCTCCTTTTTTGCTCTGCCATTTGGAGTTTGCTATGAATGTAGCAAAGTGATAGCTATTTTATACTGTTCTGAATAAAAAGCCATGCTGTAAACGTGTGATCCATCCTATCATGGGCAAAAAGAGGATATTTTTCCATGACTCTATTTAATTGTTGTGTGCATCTGTGAGCTCACTTAAACCCCATCTGTATGCTACTTCACAAGCACACAAGCCAGCCTTTCCTTATCACACGTTGGACAACGCAACTTCTACATTAATTTCAGGAAAGTGATGAAGACTGCCCACTTCGGTAAATGTTCTGCTCATCACTCAGAGATCCTTGTTGCTGCTAATTGTATCTGTTTCTCAGAGACAATATATGTTTCCTGATATTTTTCTATGTACGGTTTCATTTGGGTGGGGACCATGCTTGTTTTGGTCTTTTTTGTTGTTGTTGTTGCCTTCTGAGTAGTTCATATTTTGTCAGTGACAGAGAATCTGCACTATTTATGATTTTTGCACTATAAAACTACTGCAGCCTAGTCACATGGCTTCCTTTTCTAAGCCATCTGTCACAGAGGTCTGGAATTTTATGTGAATGTTGGTTGTGCAGACTTAACCCAAGTTTTTTTATTATGAAAAATGTCAGCAACTACAATATTTAGCATTTTACTTTACATTGGCCATTAAATTTGATTACTGTAGCTCTGTTTCATTGCTATAGTTACATATCAACTATGAAGCCAAAAAACACTGGGGCGATCATGGCACAGCTATATTGTCAGATCCTGGAGTGTGCAGTTGGCAATGATATAGTTAATATCTTGGATTTTTGTAACTAAGGTTTATTAATGCTGGTATAAAAATGTATTTGATATTATACAGATGGCATAAGATGTTGTGGTTACTAAGTTATTATCCAGGATAAGCTGCACTGTCAAATTCAGGGCTTATAACTATCACAGGAGATTAAACTATTTACTAAAAAGGGGCAGGAAGATATAACCAAAGCATCTTAGTATGAACATATTAGAAGTGTATTTACTTCCCATAAATATAATAAAGTATCTCTCTCTTTAAGCTGTGTGATTGAAAATGTGAACTTTGTCATGTAGGAGAAGCCAAAACAAGAGGTATCTGAGTTTCTGAGTTAGGAACAAGCAGATGGCTTGGTAGTGTTTCAGTCTAGGTGGGCATCTGTCTTGGGCCCGTGGCTATGAAATGGAGTTAGAATCCCTGAGTGAGGGAAGATCACTGGGCCCTAAATTTTCATCTTCTACCAACATATACCTTCTAATTAAGAACACTTCATCTGTTGCATTTCACCTTTAAATGAGTCACCACTGATTGTGGTTAGAAGAGAAGGCTGCATGAAGGAAGCTTGTGCTTTCAGTCCAACCGAGGTGGCCATGTCTCACTGTCAGCATCGAGAAAGAATTCCCTGTTTTACTATAACTGTTTTTAAGATCTTCAGGTAAAGACAGGTTTCAGCGCCCTAACTTTAACCATCTAAACATTAGGCTAATCATTTAATCTCCCACAGTAGTTACTGGGAAGAAAGAGAAAGGGACTCTTTCTGCAAGTTCCTCATCCCTTTCTAAGATGTCTAAGAAGGATGGAAAAACTTGCCCTCTGGTCATATCTGTCTCTTTTCCATTGACTGCAGAGGGTCTAGGTGATTCCTTTATGTGATAGGTTTACTTTTATATTACTCAAGACAGGAAGGCTGAATCTAGGCTTATATGAATGTCTCTTACAATTACACAACACCTAACAAATCTAGCCCAAAATTCCCAGCCGGTCTCTGAGCTATGTGGTGAATTGCAAATAAAAAAGAATGATGATGACAATAACAAGAATATACAGAACAGCATTAATTATCGTATTCTACATGTGCATTACTTGATGAATCAGCTTTCCTATGATCTTGTCATTTATCTCCATAGTCTCTGACTGTTTTCCAGCTTAAGCAGGGTGACACATACAGCTAGACTACCAAATACTCTTCCAGAAGCCACCTCATTACTTTCAGCTATATATCTCTTCCCTGACTTTAATAGCTGTCATCCATAGCAGGTACCAATCTTATACCTGTCTATACAATATGTCAATATAGGGTGTTGCTCCCTACTTAAGACCTACAAATTAATTCCAAACAGTGTTCCTACATGTGAAATATCAAGAGCAAACAATTACAAAAAAAACAACTAAATTGTGGCCACCCTGAACAATTAGCTGTAGACTGGAACTACAGAGCACATTCAACGGCCGTAGAGAAGTTCACTGTGGTGAATCAGCTCCGTGTCACCACTGGCTCAATTCTCAGTTTTGTGTTCATGGGTAGAGGATAAGGGAACAGAATCTCACTAGTAAGTGATAGGAAGAGGATCTGCAACTTCTTAAAGGATGCTGTCGACATGCCTATTGGGCCTGTGTTTGGAAGCAGAGGAAAAGAGAGAGGCTGATCCTTCAGCGCAGAAAAAGCTCAGGGTAAATCCTCCCAAAATCTTATAATGCATGAGGTGACATTTTTGTTGCTTCCGTTAGTAAGTTCCACTTTTAGAGGCTTTTTGTCATTCTAGGAGTGTTTTTTGTTTTTTTTTTTCCTGCGGTCAGATTGTGAGAGCTAGAACAGTGAGCTTTCCTTCCCTTTTCCTCATTGAACAGCTGAGCAGCACCTGCCCATTCCTGTGAGCAGGAGCTGTTTTGTGAGGTTCTCCCAACTTGGAAAGGGAAGTTGGGTCTCTCGCCCCGCTACCCACCCCTTCAATCAGAAGTTGCTGTTTCCTGATGCGAGTTTCTCCTGGAGGGCCAGAGTAGCAGAGGTTCGTTACTCGTGCTGAAGGAGCCGGGAATTTCAAGCAGAACCTGAAGATCTTCCTGTGGCTCCCAGTCTAGTGCTCTCAGTGCAGGCCTGTGCCTGCTTCAGTGGCTTAATCTGCCCCTATTTTGTGATAACTCTGTTCAAAAGTGATATCCAAATCAAACTCTGATTAAGGGAATATGTTATTTTCCATATGTATGAAACCCTAGTCAAAAATTCTCCTACTGTATCTGTTATCATATTTCTGCATGCCCCCTCTTTCCCACATGATGCAGATGTTGTAATATTTCCGAGATGTGGGGGGAAGGGAGGACAGTAATGCTGGTGATGACATAAACAATGCATTAATGCTTTTAACTGTGAATTGGGGTCATAGTTCTCTGTAAGAATAAAAAGATCAAGAAGATTTAAAGCTAAACTTTTTTTAAATAAAACTAGATTTAGGGTGTATAGGTTATGGTTTAGAGCCATCTTATTTAAATTCTACTTACTCTGTTTAAGCTGAGAAGCAGGGAGACCATTACCGAGGGTACCCCTAAGTCTGCCTAAGAGTTGGACATTAACTGATATAAATCGAAAAGCTGGGTTTAGATTCAGATAAATTTAAATAGAAGCGTGCATTTACATTTATCCTTTAAAAGCACCACATGGTTATGTTGCAGCCTCACCATGTCCATGTCTAAACATGTCTCTGTTTCCTATTGCATGTCTCAGGGAGCTGAGATAGAAGTGGATGAAAATGGCACTCTGGATTTGAGCATGAAAAAGAACCGAAGCCAAGACAAAGTTATGCCTCTCAATTCTTCCAGCACAACACTTCCTACTCCTTCCTCTTCTCCATTCAAGACAAGCAGCATCCTGGTAAATGCAGCTTTCTACCAGGCTCTTTGTGAACAGGAAGGCTGGGATACACCAATCAACTACAGCAAGACCCATGGCAGGAAAGAAGAAGAAAAGGAGGTACCTTTTCAGCTTCTCAGTTTGTGATTTTTACCTTTGGATGAATGGCCAAATGGGAATGACCAATCCAGTGCAATTTTAAGGGAACTGACTTCCACAGAGTGGAGGTTTGTGAACATTGAGTTGGCTTTAATGTCCTCTTAGATGTGGCACACAAAGTCACTGTTCACCAGAAAATCCTGCTCTCAGAGCCTGCTTTCAGAGATGGAAAACAACAGCTATTAATTTCAGTAGGAGCTGTGAGTGCCTACAAGTATCTAAAATAAAGAAATCAAAGGAATCCAGAATTAGAAGCCGTATTTTACATTTTATTCGTAATGGTTCATTCCTGTAGACATGCACCCAAATGATGTAAGGATCACTCAAAGAATAAATACTAAGGTAATTTTTTCCATGTGTAAAGTAATTTTTCCACACCAAATGTCTATAATTCTAGATAGCTCATTATCGAAGTGTTCAAATACATGCTTAGAACCTTGCCTACAATATTCTCTCAGTAGACACCTTTTTATTTTACATTTACTATTTTACATTTAACAATATCTGCCAATGAGTCCAGAAATGGTCCAGAAATCAATTTGAGACTATAAATTCATAAATAAATAGTAAATCCTGAAGCTTTCAGTTACAACAAGTGGCATAAGGAGCAATGTATGCAATTGCCACTAATTTAATGCCATTTATTCCATGAGGAAGAAGCATGGAAAAAGTATATGAATATATACAGGTATCTTGCCTTTTTAATCTATCCTAGGAAGTGTAAAGACTAAACTTGAAAATATAGTTACAGGCACAAAGACAAGCAACTAAGTTCTGGTAATTATTTTCATTTAGTAACTTTCTACCTTTCCAGGCTAATCTTCTAGATTGCTACTGATAATTTTCTTGATTTTGATTTTGTTTCTGTTTTGCCCTTTCATATCCATTTATCCCATGTTGGCAACTTGGCAGCATAGTCTCTTATTCTCTTACTTTTCTTTCCTTTTATTTTACAGGCAATTTTTTTTGTGCATTTTTCTTTTGAGCATGGCTGTCAGAATGTGGATTCCTTGTATTTTTGTTAAATCAGTAAGGGACAGTCCATCAGCACCTTTTAAGGCTAATTAAATGAAATCTTGGTAATTAACAGAGATGAGCCTCAGTGATAGCTTTCTGAAGCAGACTCAGAGATGTCCCAATTTGGAGTTTTTATTCAGCTTAAAATACCTTTCCACCCCACTTGTTTTTTGTATACCAAATAATAGCACTTGAACATTACAATTATTACAATTTTTTTGTCTTCAGAGATCAAAACTGGCACTTTACAGTGACAGACAGGGGTAAATCTACAGTTGAGGTTAGGGGATTCAGGCCTCCAATTCCAAAAATACCTGGGAAGAAAAGATATATCAGTTGAGTGAATAAAAATTTCTGTCAGCGCTGGGTCAAGAGCTGTCGTAGCGAAACCTCTGAGATGGTTTATCTCATAGCGGATCATTTCTTGGAGGCTGGGGTGTCCTGAAGACCCGCTTGCTGTCACCTCTGTGGAGCTGATGACTCTTTATCTCAGCAATGAGATTCTGGGAGGATCGTCCTTATTGCAAGGTTTTAGAGTGTGATTTATAGGCTGAGGAGTCAGACTCTTCCCCATGATGGGGTCCCTCCTTGCTGCATAATGAATGAGTATGTCCAGCTTTGAGAGAACCGCCTTGGTGCAGGGGATCAATTGGTGGTGCAGACTTGGCGGGGGGCCTATAGTGCTGCTCCTCCTCCCTGCTGTCAGCGCCGCTCAACGAAAGAGCTACAGCAGGAGCACCTCTGCATCACCCTGCTCCCTGCTCCACTTCTGCAGAGATGACAGGGGTGGCTGGCCACTTCTCTTGGCATGGGGACAGGGAATTGGAGGCATCGCTGAACTGTCCAGAAGGACATAAAGATCCACGTTCAGGCATCCTTTCCCCTTACGTTCACTGCTTTAATAGCGTGCAGTTTGTCCTTAATCAAGGATCTGGCCCCAGACCTCTGCTCTGAGCTTTTCTGATCCCAGAGAGCATCAACATGTCCAGTGGTCCCCGGGCCAGAGGCTCTGTTTTGCAAATCAAAGACTGGCAGTTATCCTCATGCAAAGAAAATGAGTGATAATATCTATTTTTAATTCATTGTTATCTGGTTCATATGCACAACAGTTGCTTAATTTTGGTGGTAATTTCCAGAAAATATTGTCTCTCTCTCTCTCAGTGAAATAGCCTGTCCAGATGCCCCCTTAAAAAAAAAAAAAATTGAATTTGGAAAAGGCTCAAAATCTCTCCAAAAGGAAAGCGCCGAGAAATAACTAGAGCTGTCAGTTAGTTCAACTGTCAGTTCTCCAAAGATTTCAGGGCTTAAAAATGTTAAAAGTGCCAGATGCTATTATCTGTTATTCATGTTGCCATTATGTTCTGGTCTTTGCTGAAATCAATATAAACTTCCATCTGTACATTAATGGAGGTTCATTGCTTGCTTGCTTTCTGTAGTGTACATGTGTGAGTACACACATGCTCTTTTTAGATAGTAGTAGTGCTTGGACTGATTGGACCAGTTCTGATTTTCCTTTTAGCCTAGAATTCTTCAGAATTTTAATATCTTTTAATTCTAAGTCTGTTCAAATGGGAAAGGAAAAAAACATTCATAGATTTGACCTTGATTAGCTGTGATAATCATCACTTAAAAAGTGGGAAGGGCTAACAACATTTCCTCAAGGGACTCTCTCTCCCTCTAATGATAAATCTCTAGAGAATCACATAGCCCGAGGCATGATGCTCCATGTTCATTCCTAAGAGTGGAGGACCAAGGCACACATCTTTAGTTCTGACCTGCTTGTTTCACGCAGAAGCAGTCCCTTTTGGGCCACAGGTACTGATGCAAGCCCCTAGAAAGGCAAGGAGTTTAGACAGTCTCCTATTTCCTTAGCACTTTCTTGTACAGCTTTAACACATCTGAAGATTTCACGCTACTTGAATAATAATAATAGTGTTTCACAAGCTACTGAGGCAATGCTGGTGTAATTACCTGCTTAAATGTCTATATGCCTCCCTCACTCCTTAGAAATATACTGAGGAATATTAACTAGAAAGCAAACTGCTGAAAGACAATTCAGGAAATTGACAATTAAAGTGAGAAAAAAATGAGTTCTTTGAAAGTTAGAAAATGAAAACAGTGCAGTTCAAAAACCCCCTAGCATCAGTTTTGCTGGTGGCTGTAAATATACATATGTCAACCTTAATCTTGCCATCGTAGTTTCATTAACTAATTCAATGGAGCATCATTAAATGGAATAGTGTATATGAATGGTAAGAGTGTAGTATTTTGTCAGGCCTCTATATGCAAAATTCACAGTCAATCCTCCCTGTGCAGCAGGGTATCGGATAGTGACATGATGAGTCACTCACACGTGCAAGTTTGTGCTCCATCACCAGCAAAAGATCAAGCGATATCTTCCATTTGAGATAAAGAACACAAGCTGTAGCTGAAGGCATTAATAAATCCTCCAGCTTGAACTGTAACTACACTTTTTTGCTACAGGTATATCTCAAGGTCCGTTGTGCAGCTCAGGAACCCAACGGTGTGCCGGGGTGGATTTTCCACCACCCTGTACACCAGGCTCCTCTCAGTTGGACCCCGAACATGAGGTGGAAGAGGCTGATGCTTGCCTGGTCTTGATACATAGTTAAGGTGCAGCCAAGGCATGCACTAAGCCTTAGAAACACAGCATTGGTCATCAGTTCAGTTACAGATGTAGCCTGTCTGAGTTACTTGCTAGAGAGAAAATGTACGCACAGACAAATTGGCCTTCTTCAACCTCCATTACTTTAAATGGAGACAACCACAGCTGCAGTTATTTTGGCATCTGACCCATTGCAACTGGCAACTCAAAGGCACCATTCTGTTATTTCTTTCAGGAGCATTTGATTTTACAGAAAGTTACATGGGCTTTGATCCCTCTAAGAACTTGCCTTTAGAGGTATATAAGAAAGGCAGGTCAGAAAACATGGAAAGACAAAAAGCCAGTGACTAGAAGGCTCATTCTGTTGACTGCAGTGGTAAACTCACCCCAATATATCACTAGAAATCAGGATTTAACTTGATGTTGGGAAACACGTTTTCAGGTTTCTTGAACCTTGAACAAAATTTCTCACTTTCTGTCTTTAGGGTTTTAATTTCCATGTTTGAAGGACTTTCAATAATTTAGGATTTTTATATTAACATTTTTAAAATATTTATCATTGTTTTTAGTTTTCTGTTACTTTTTATCTGAAGTTTTCTCTTAGAAATAAAATTATAAGAGCCTGAAATATATCAGTTTATTTTTATGATATTTTATTTTTCCTTGCTAATTACCATTAAAGAGTGTTTAGAAAAGCTTAAGACACATATTTTTACTTTCTGTATTTGCAGCCTACGAGATTATTCCCAAACAAAGTAACCCCACAAATGTGGTTGCAAAAATCAGTAGTAATTGATATATCAATAATATGGCATGGTTTCTATATGTATGTGTAGTGTGAGCTACAGTAGGCAGTAGGTAGCCAGGACCAGAAAGCAGAAGGAAGTCATATTGAGGAGCCAGCCTCCAAACAGGCAAAGATGAGCTGCCAGGATTGAGGACCATATGGAAGCTTTATCAGAAGAAACACCCCCGCAGAGCTTACAAGTCCCGTTAGGCAGAATCTCCATTTTCAGTCCAGATTCTCCTCAGCCCTCCACTCTGTGCTTAACAGCTCTGCAGACATCCCTGCCCCTCTGTCCTGGCACGTTCATCAGCTGTACAAGCCCAGATCCTCTATGGCACCTGCCCTGAGAGTTTAGCAGGAGCTGGGAGCTTTCCCCCCTCACCCGCAGGTAGCAGTTTCTGCTCCCACAGACCATAATCTCTGGGGGCTATCTACCCGAGTATCTGAGCAGAGTTATAAAACCAACATGAAATCCCAGCAGGGATTTATACAGATTTGATAATTAATGCTTTGGAGATTTCTTAAATGTTACAATATCCACAGAGCATCCCTCTGGAAAGGAAACACTTGTCCTTCACACAAATAATAATAATTGAAGGCATTAATTTTCAAAACAGTATTAGCCAAGCTATTTTGAAGTGGTCAAATATGATTTTTCTATAAATGAAAAAGTGATATCCTTACAGGTTTCCAGATTTCCAAAATGCCTTCCCAAGGGAGTGAATACTCATGACTGCATGGCATCCATCAAACATCACTGTAGCAGTGGTGTTTTTAATCTACAAACAGTAGAAATCAAGAACTATCCTTAGCAGCCTACTACTAAAGAAAATTTCAAAGCATTTATGTGCTTTTGTTTGACAAGAACCTGCTCTATGGATAAGATAGTAAATCAACCAATTCTACAGACGTGGAAAGTTTTACATTTTTACATAGCTTTATATATGGCAGTTTTGTGATTTATGAGTATACGGTACAACGATGCTTACTTCATTTTTGTACAAAGCTCAATGATGCAATTGCACAGAAAAAGCAAGAACATACTTCCTGCAGTCTGATGTGGCTCTATATATTTTATTTTCTGTGTGTATTTTTCTTTGGTCTTCATCACCATTTTACAAATTAAACCAAATTTTCTTTATAAACAGCTTAACATAGCGTCTGCCCTCAGGAATAATTACATGAATATACAGTTGTAGCATTTAAAAAAAAAATCTATAAATGCCTGAAAATATGATGTATTAAACTTTCTTCATCACTTTCCCCATCACTTCTTATTACACTTTTTTCTAATGTTTTCAAAGCAGTTATCTTCTTGCCTCAGAAATAAACAATTAATTGATGAATGTAAGAAGGGTCTTAAGGAGAGAAACCTTTTGTCGTGTTCCCATCTAATATTTTAGAAGGATCCAGTGAACTCCACAGAAAATATGGAGGAAAAAAAGTATCCGGGAGATGTCTCCATACCAAGTCCTAAACCGAAGCTCCATTCAAGAGATCTCAAAAAGGAACTTATCACGTGAGTCGTGGAAAGTGTCATATTTTTCTCAGTAGAACTGACTACAGAGCCGTTCTGTGGTTGGAGCACATCTGTAGGAGCCAAGCCGGGAGACTCATGGGACTATTCACTATAAATGAATGTTCCCCAATGGGACTATGCAGCTGGGTATAAAAGAGTTTGGAGCAGAGACAGGCCAGGGTAGGTGTGAGGGTCTGGACAGATTCATGACTTTTGCTCTACCCTGCATCAGTCCTTATTCCTTATATACACAGGTATCAAAAGGGCAACATTTCCTGCTACAAAACACACACTGTTTTGCAGCGTGCTGCAGCTGTGCTGATGCTTGGGCATTAGGTAAACAAACTCCTTTTGGGCAGTCTTTGATTGCTCCTTTTGGGCAGATTGACTGCTGAAGGTTTGTCTGAGAAGTCTTGGGAACTTCTCAGATATAGAAGATGCGAAATTCATAAAAAGATAAAACACAAGCCAGCTGGGACTTGCCCCAGGGTCTTCTGACCTGTAGGAAATCTATGTTTAAGTCCTTGATCTGCTTTCTGCAAAGCAGAGTTTGTCATTCTGTCGGGCTGAAAATACAGTGGATACACACTTTCACACTTTAGGAGAATAGGCTGATATTCTGTTCTCCCAAGTACAATCTCTCTTGCTCTGTCTTAAATGCCAAGACTTTCTTGTCAAAAACTGCGCATAAATCAGTCTAATTCCATTACACCTTTCTACACGCAACAGCCTGTTTTGGTTTAGAATCATTTCAGTGAAATTGTTTAAACCAGCTGACATCACTGGTTGCTTTTTAAAATCTAGGCGAGGCTCTCCAGAAAGCCTGTTGGATTCACATCTACGACATTTTGATATCAATAGAGCGGTCTCACTGTAGTAGTCACTGGGGACTTAGCACTTTTATTTTTGTCCCCAAAACAGAGTAAGTCTCTCTTGCACTCTTAGGCCAGTGCACTCTGTATTGCTTAGTGATGATAGTCTATAACATATCACTGCAGGCTCAACCGTAAATAAATGAGTCTCATCCTGTCACCCTATGTCCTGCTGTCCAGACTCAGTGGCACTGAATCAGTTGGATACGCCTCTGTCTCTAGAAATTACATTTCCCTGGGGCAAGCTTCTCTGAAGAGTGATTCTTTCACCTCATGCCATGCAGTCTGCTTGTCTGCTTATCATATTGTATCTGCAGCTGTAGTCCATGACCTAAATTGCCATAGGTCACGTTTGTTTTGCCTCTTTTAAAACAAATGCATACAAAAATTGCTGTAAGTTTATCTGCTGAAAACTCTAATGGTTTTTCTTTTGTAATATTTATGCCTTTGCGATATTAACGAGTTCTGAGATGTCCATAAAATACTTTTCTCCTTCTCTAAATAATAATTCTGCAGAGTATTTACAAGATCGATGCTTGGCCTACAGTATTTTTAATATGGGTATTGCTCAGTGAGTAGAAACAGTTATGTAAAATGTGACGTCCAGAAAATTAAACAAGAAATAGTTTTAACATATAAGAAGAATCTATAGGCAATATATGCAATAGACTGCATTTACTGTAAACCCACTGAGCTCAGAACTCATATTGAGCAATTGAGTACAGGTGGCTCCATCATGAGGAAGTTTTTAAAATGGCATAAGCACTTACAAAGAAAAATTTCTGAGACTGTAACTCAGCTGCAGTGAGCTACTGTATGAATACCATCTCCTAGCACGTGCTTTCTATTCTTCCATGCTAATTCTCTTGCCTATAACTGTCTTTTGGCACTGCGTAACTGCATTACTTAGGTTGAAGTCGGCTGTGCAAATGAGGCCGATGCCTTCCTGAGTCTTTGTTACAGATTTGAAAAAAAGCTCCCAGTGCTCTGTCAGCTCAGAGAAAATATCCAGATGAGGATCTCAGGTACCCCTCCTCATGCCTATGAAGCTCTGGCTAGAAGTTCCAGTGTAGCTTCTGCTAAGCTACTGAGATCCCTTGGCCTTCTTATCCCTGGGCCGAATGAGAGAAGACACAGTCTTTTATGAGGTGACTCCACAGGGTCAGCGTTAGACTATTTTAAAATAGTATGGAAAGGTCTGTTTAATTCATTTGTCTCCCATCCACAACTTCCCTGCAAAAGTCCCAGAACTTTTGGCTTCCTTGCCCTCTTGCAGAGGAATGTGTTCTCATTTGATAGCTGAGCTCAATGGTATGACCAAAGAAGGGCTGAGGACCAACAGGAGCTTTAACATATTCTCCAGTTACCCAGAAAGAACAAAGGAAGCCTAACAGCCTGTTAGGCCACTATTCCAGAAGCCTGAAATAGCAAAAAAGAAAATATTTATATAAATACACACACACGCACACACACACACACACACACATGCACACACACACAATACATACGTATGTATTCCTGTTGCAAAGATAAGACAATTGTACCCTTTGGGTCTCTCTTTTCTCTGGGGACTGAGCAGGCAAGTCCGCTTGACTGCTAGCCTTGAGGAAGCCAGGGTAGAGGGTTCATAGAGCAACAGCAAAAATAATTCTTTAGGGCCTGATTCCTAGATTCATTAAAAATCATTTTCACCATTCTAATGGTTTCAAGAGGTCTTTGAAAATGAACATAGACAATGAATACAGAGAGCTCACAGAAATAAACAAACTCCATAAGCTGGATAGAAGGTAAACTCTCTCTTATACCTACATTACATAACATTTTTATTTATTCAAAGAACCTCCTATTTAGACACTCAGCAAATTTAATTGCGCAGTCTTCAGCATTGTGAAATATACTTCTATCTCTTGGCATAAAGGAACAAACCTTTTGTGCTAGATTTGCACCACCTTCATATCATTTCTCAGTTCAGCTGAGAAATACCCAGGGAAAATTTTGTGCTCTTTCTGAACCTTATCTGTCTGCATTTGATGTGTGCTTTCTATTCTGCAAGCAACCGTAGCAACTAATTTCTCACTTGAAGTCAGCAAATAAAGATTGGATGTGTTTCTAAAAAAGGTGCTTTATTTTACTCAGAAGCTGGGGGAATTATGTCAGATATTACAGTTCTCTGGCTTGTGTTACATAGCAGGTCAGATCAGAAATTTCAACCCTAACATTTATGCTTTCAAAATTTGGTACCATTAGTGAAACTGTCTTTTCAAGAACCTAAGCCATAACTGAAAATCTATGCAAAACATGATGGTTTCACATTGTATATATATAGGAGTGTGTATGTGTGTGTGTGGTGCATGTGTATTTTATATACACATACATACATACATATGTATACATACGTATGTATGTATGTATGTATGCATGTAAAGTTTTGATTTATTTGCATGGAAATAGGAATACTTTTTCAGTCCTGTAAACATCTATGCCTCAGGTAGTAACTGAATACTAGAAATGTCATATAAGTTTTGCTAGCTTTTAGTACTGTCATGATATTGTTGAGATGGTTAATGATGAATGTGATTGCCCTAAGAATTATTTAGTTCATTGCAGAGTAGGGTGAGTTATGTCGTGTATTATATGTACTCTCACTTCTCACTGCATCTTCTTTGCACAGCTGTCCAACTCCAGGATGTGATGGTAGCGGTCATGTAACAGGCAACTATGCCTCACACCGCAGGTAGGAAACAACAGGAAGTAGAGCTACTTTTAGCTGCTGTCTTCTTTGAACAGTTTTATACCAACTATGGATAAGTATGCAAAAACAATTTGTAGAAAATAATCCATACAGAAATGTAGCCCTTTTCTATTTCTGTTATATTTTGTGAATGTCTTGACTCAATAAATTGATGGAGTTAAGCAGCATATACTTATTAGTCGAGCTGCATGTCTTAGCTGAGACCTGCAGATAAGTCATTCTGTAACGTTTTCATTTCCTTAAGTGTACAAGCACTCTCCATATAGATGCTAGTGCGTGGGATTTTAAATAAGGTTTCTGCAAGCAACTCTACACGTGGCTTTGAAGTTCATAGATCTGCAAATACATACTATAGGTGCCAACCATTTTCCTCAAAATAGCCTATTATCAGCCTGGGGGGTTGAAACAATAATTTCCTGCCTTTCCTTTTGGGAGCAGGATGGAAGCAGATTCTATCTTTTTCCAACTACACGGACTAGATGTTCTACCTACCATTTACACTGGCAACATAAAGAAAGGGCTATCTGTATCACTGCTTCCCTGCAAAGCTTTACAGGGACTTAGAAACCTCTGTGGCCAAACCACTTTCCAGTACCTTAAGAGCTACAGATGGATACTGGCTGCTCCTCCTTTGCCAAGAGCAAATATTCTTTTCCTCATAGTATATCATAGATTGTCCAGAGGTTGTGGGTTTTTTTTAAAAAAAAAAAAGTTCTGTTTTAATGAAACATTTCACATCTGTTTTCTTAGTGTTTCTGGATGCCCATTAGCTGACAAGACATTAAAATCTCTTATGGCTGCCAACTCTCAGGAGCTTAAGTAAGTATTGATAACACCAAAATGTGATTGCTATTTATTTCTTGTCAGTATGTTCCCTATGTTAATATTAATTATTTATTTGAGTTGCTTTGAGCTAGGTTAAGCCTTTGTCCAAAACTTCAAATGAACTGAATGGAAAGCTTTTCAGTGAGATAGAGTTCACTTTTCTCCATTTGTCTTCTTTTTTTGTACCTCTTCATTTTCATGTACTTTGCAGGACCTCTCTGACTCAGAGAGAAACAGGAAGTATCTTATATGTAAGACTGATCTGGCAAATAACCCTGTCTGATCGGAGAAGTTAAAATAAATCTGAAAACCAGACAGATCTCCTACAAATCATTTTTCATCATTCACTACCATATACTATGAGTTGAATGTCAGTGAAGCAGACATCAAGTCATATGATTTGGTGCTGGCATAATTCTTACCATGAAATGTCACTTACAAAAGGACTGTGCAGGCTCTGCTATACGGACAGATGTATAGGGGCATATGAATATTTCAAAAATCTGTAGTCAAGAGAGGCACTGGCAACCAGTCATCTAGTTATTGAATTGCTTTGTCAATAAGGATGTGGAGAAGAGGAAAGCATAATTAGAGTCCTTTCATAGCTTTCCCTCTGCAACTTGTACATTGGATCCCATAATAAATGGCTTGGAAAACTCATGAATGTCTGTAAAAAGAATCCTGTTACTATACTCTCTGCCCTTCTTTAGGTTCATCCCTAGTCCAGATAGAAGAATATAAAGACTGCTTATGGCACTTTTACACTATCATAATGGTATTAATAGTAGCAGTGACTACATTCAGGCCTGACTCCGTGTTTAGTCACAAATTAGCTTCCCCACGTCAAATGTTAGTGCATCCTATCTTGTATTCTGGCAACTTATGTTATAAATAAGATGCTGAACTGATGATAGGTACAGAGGTGAAGCTGCTGGAGATGCAGCAAAATAGCAAAGAAAGGCCATTTATAGGCGCAACTGGTCAAAGCAGTTCCCAAAACCAGTAGGTAAATTGGCATGCTGTCATAATCCTTCAGCTTTTGGATCGCTGAGTCTCAAAGATACAAAATTTGGTTTTAGTTTATTTTGAAAAGAGCAGCTCAAGAAGCAGGGAACGGACTTGTGAAAATGCTGACAAATTTGAAATCATTTGCTGAGTCATATATATTCGCCTCTGCTTTTGTTGGCTTTCTGCCATAAATAGATATTCACACAAATATTTTGAATAGTTGCTCTTCATGCAGCCCCGTCCCCCCGTATTCATGTGTGAATAAGGAAATTTGCATACCAATATGGTTATTTTTCCACTAAAGCTTCTAGAGTTTTGGTCATGCCATAAGGAAAGAAGAGCAACAGCATATGACTTAAATGACAAACTGCACACTGTACGCCATGTATAATAAGTGAGTTGTGAAAGACAAAGTCAAAGTTCATGAACATTTCACAGACAGAAATATGTTGCATAACGTACTTAGCATTTAATTTCAATTAACTAGAAAAAGAGCAAAAATTGAAATCTGTTCACAGACAATTTGCAAAAGGAAAAAGGACTACATAATTTTTTTCCACAAATGCACCACCTTATTTTAGCTTCCTGCAAACATTTTTCAGGTGAAATTTTAAATAAAACTCTTCTTTTGAGAAAGGTTAGCTAAATGAAATCTTATGCCACAAACTGCGATCATACCTTCACTGGTATAGCAGAGTGATGTCAGTAGTTAATTTTACTTCATAGAAATGTGAGGAAAGTGCATAAATGCTCATAGAATCAGGCCATCAAAGTACTCTCATATAGTTAGGCATGAATATGGAAAAGCTGTATATTTTTTCCAAATGTTGTGCAGATTTAACTTACCAGAATCAAGATGGGATTTTGGCTTTAATTGTGAATCTCTAAGCCAGAAAAGTCACGAGACTTCCATGTGGTCTACAGTTTGGAAATAAGGAAGATCCGTTCAAAAAGTGAGCCTTTGAGTCAGATTCAGGAAATTTTAAATCTGAAGATTCTTGCTGCACAGAGCAGCCTAAGGTGATCAGATTAAGAAATACTGAAGTTGATAATGATTTATAGGTTTTAAAGTGAAAAGGGAGAATTATGATTGATTATCCTATTTCACTTCACCAAAGAGCTGCTTTGAACAAGTTTGATCAAGCCTTGAACAAGTTTAAAAGTGTACTTTAGAAAGATATATCTACTTACAGTTCAGAAACTGGTCACTTCTTGTAGAAGGAGAAAGGCTCTTGCTCTTCCTCAACATTTGCCTTTGAGGAACAAGTTTAGTGCCTTTCAGACTGAGGAGGACCTGGGCATGGCTTCGAAGGAAGCAACTGGCCTGACAGTAGCGGGAACACCTGGAAGAAGCGGCGAGTGATTGTCATGGGTGACTCCCTGCTGCAGGGAACAGAGGCACCTGTCTGCCAACCTGACCTCTTGTCCAGAGAGCTTTGCTGCCTGCCAGGGCAGGGGCTCGAATAAGAGATGTCATGGAAAGACTGCCAAGGCTTGTCCGTGCATCAGGCTACTACCCTCTGCTGATCTTCCATGTCAGCGCTAATGACACCAAGGGCAAATTGGAAACCATCAAACAGGATTTCAGAGCTCTGGGAATGGTGGTCAAGGGTCTGGGAACCCAGGTCGTTTTCTCCTCAATCCTGCCTGTGAGGGGAAAGGATGGGAGAAGGAGTAGATGGATTTTCGAGGTTAATAACCAACTGCGCCACTGGTGTTGGCAGGAGGGTTTTGGTTTCTATGACCATGGGACCCTGTTTGAAGATCCACAGCTGATGGGGAGAGGTGGTATCCACCTCACTAAGTGGGGCATGCATGTCTTCACCAACAAGTAGGCCAACCTGGTAAGGAGGGCTTTAAACTAGGAAGGATGGGGAAAGGGGAGAATTATAGAGACAGGGTAGTCAGTAAAATACCGCTCAAGTGGTATTTTATCCTCTTGCACCTCTCCTGGGAAGCTTGCATGCTTGACTGGCTCTCTGAAATGCCTGTACACCAATGTGTGCAGCATGGGGAATAAGCAGGAAGAGTTAGAGATCTGTGTGTGGTCACAGGGCCGTGATCTCTTTGCAGTTACAGAGACATGGTGGGATAGCTCACATGACTGGAATGCTGTCATGGATGGCTGTGTGCTTTCCAGGAAAGACAGGCCAGGAAGGCGAGGTGGTGCAGTGGGTCTTTATATGAGGGAGCAACTGGAATGTACGGAGCTGTGCCTAGGGGTGGATGAAGAGCAACTTGAGAGCTTATGGGTAAGGATTAAAGGGCAGGCTAACATGGGTGATACTGTTGTGGAGGTTTACTACAGGCCACCTGATCAGGGAGAAGAAGTAGATGTAGTCTACAGACAGCTGGAAACAGCCTCATGATCACAGGCCCTGGTTCTTGTGGGGGGCTTCAACCACCCTGACATCTGCTGCAAAGACAACACAGCTAGGCACAAACAGTCAAGGAGGTTCCTGCAGAGCACTAATCATAAATTTTTAGCCCAAATGGTGGAGAAGCCAACGAGGAGAGGTGTGCTGCTGGACCTTGTACTAACAAATAAAGAAGGTCTGGCTGGAGATGTGAAGGTTGGGGGCAGCCTTGGCTGCAGTGACCATGAGATGGTGGAGTTCAGGATTCTACAAGGAAGAAGCAGGGCAATGAGTAGGATTGCAACCCTGGACTTCAGGAGAGCTAACTTTGGCTTCTTGAGGGAGCTACTTGGAGGAATCTCATGGGGTAGGGCCCTAGAAGGAAGAGGGATCCAGCTGGTTAATATTCAAGCATCACTTTCTCCAGGCTCAAGATTGGTGCATCCCTCTGAGTAAGAAGTCCAGCAAAGCAGGCAGGAGACCTGCGTGGATGAGCAAGAAACTCCTGGCAAAACTCAAACAGAAGAAGGAAGTATAGAGAGTGTGGAAAAGGGGACAGGCCACTTGGGAGGAATACAGGGACATTGTCAGAGTGTGCAGGGATGGGATGAGGAAGGCTAAGGCCCATTTGGAATTAAATCTGGCAAGGGATGTCAAGGACAACAAGAAGGGGTTCTTCAAATACATCAAGAGCAGAAGGAAGACTAGGGAAAATGTGGGCCCGCTGCTGAATGGGGCGGGTGCCCTGCTGACAAAGATTACAGAGAAGGCAGGGTTGCTGAAAGCCTCCTTTGCTTCCGTCTTCACTGCTAAGGCCAGTCCTCAGGAATTCCAGACCCTGGGGACAAGAGAGGAAGGCTGGAGAAAGGAAGACTTTTCCTTGGTGAGGAGGACCAGGTTAGAGATCATTTGTGCAAACTGGACATCCACAAATCCATGGGCCCTGATGGGATGCACCCACGAGTGCTGAGGGAGCTGGCGGACATCATTGCTAGGCCACTCTCCATTGTCTTTGAAAGGTCATGGAGAACAGGAGAGGTGCCTGAGGACTGGAAGAAAGCCAGTGTCATTCCAGTCTTCCAAAAGGGCAAGAAGGAGGAACCAGGGAACTACAGGCCTGTCAGCCTCACCTCCATCCCTGGAAAGCTGATGGAACAGCTCCTCCTGGAGGCCCTCGCTAAGCATCTGGAGGACAAGGTGGTGATCAGCAGTAGTCAGCAAGGACTCATCAAAGGGAAATCATGCTTGACCAATCTGATAGCCTTCTGTGCTGGAATGACTGGCTGGGTAGATGAGGGGAGAGCAGTGGATGTTGTCTTTCTGGACTTCAGCAAGGCTTTAGACACTGTCTCCCCTCACATCGTCACAGGAAGCTCAGGAAGTGTGGGTTAGATGAGCAGACAGTGAGGTGGATGGAGAACTAGCTGAATGGCAGAGCTCAGAGGGTTGTAGTCAGTAACGCAGAGTCTAGTTGGAGGCCTGTAGCTAGTGATGTCCCACAGGGGTCAGGACTGAATCCAGTCTTGTTCAATGTATTCATCGATGACCTTGATGAAGGGATGGGGTGCACCCTCAGCAAGTTTGCTGATGATACTAAACTGGGAGGAGTGGCTGGTACAGCAGAAGGCTGTGCTGCCATTCAGAGGGACCTGGACAGGCTGGAGAGATTGGCAGAGAGGAACCTCCTGAAATTCAACAAAGGCAAGTGCAAGGTCCTGCACCTAGGGAGGAATAACCCCATGCACCAGGACAGGCTGGGGGTTGACCTGCTGGAGAGCAGCTCTGCAGAAAAGGACCTGGGAGTCCTGGAGGACAACAAGACTATGAGCCAGCATTGCGCCCTTGTGGCCAAGAAGGCCAATGGTCTCCTGGGGTGCATTAGGCAGAGTGTTGTCAGCAGGTGGAGGGAGGTGATCCTGCCCCTCTCCTCAGCCCTGGGGAGGCCTCACCTGGAGTCCTGTGTCCAGTGCTGGGCTCCCCAGTACAAGAGAGACATGGCACTCCTGGAGAGAGTCCAGCGGAGGGCTACCAAGATGATGAGGGGACTGGAGCACCTCTCCTGTGAAGAAAGGCTGCGAGAGCTGGGCCTGTTCAGCCTGGAGAAGAGGAGGCTGAGAGGGGGATCTCAATCAATGCATAGAAATATCTAACAGGAGGGTGTCAAGAGGATGGGGCCAGACTCTTTGTAGTGGTGCCCAGTGATAAAAGTATCAGAAATGCTCCTAGATTTACAGCTCAGTGCATCAGTTTTCAGCAAAGTTGTAGTTCATCTAATTAAAGTTAGAACAGCCCTGTTGGAGAAAGGCACAAAATGACAGATATTCAATGAATGGTTACAAAAATGTCTGTGTGGAATCTGCGTCTGTGTCTGTGTGAAGCTATTTCGGAGAACAAACTCCATGAAGTGTAGAAGAATCTGTAACCTAGACCCTTTCAAGAGTTGATAACTCTCAGCTTGAGTCCTCTGGCCCTCCAGTGGGAATCTCATTTGCTTGGCTCTGCACAAGAATCCACAACAGAGGATGTCTCCCTAGACAAGGGCACCAGTCCAAACTTGTCAGCCAGTTAAAAGCTGCTGAAGAGCTACACACTGTAGAGCAATATGTTGTTCGTGTGTCTTATATTGTGGAATTTCAGAATCCTTATAAAGATATAACCAGTATTTGGAAAATCCATTTCAGGGGTCGTGTACAGAAGTCTTAATAATGTGCATTCTTACTAATTTGTTAGTGGCCCACCTGAAACGTTATCCTATAATTTAGTCAATGCTAATAACATCTCAGTCTCAAATCTTTAATGACTCTTAGAATATCTTGAATACAGATGCAAAAAAGAAGATGCAAAATTATTTTAGTGTCATTTTTAAGTCCATAACAGACTCATGATCTGAATGTCTCCCATAAAAAGCTCTTACTGAAGTAAATCCACATCCAGTCTATCTGCACAGCTTTTCCATCTGTGATCATCTGATAAAATTAGTAGGCAAAATTAATACCCATAGTATTTGGCATGTATTCTAGATTTAGTTGCAAGCACTCACACTCTCCAGACATCTGCCCTTGCTGCTTGCTTCACATAACGTTGTGCCTGCTCATTATCTCATACTCAGACAGGTCAACATTTAGCCCTGCATAGACAAGCATATCTGGGACACTGCTACCCACACCTCTACCTTAGCTGTCAGTGTGAAATATGTCATTCTGCTAAAACATTTTGTCCAGAAAATGTCATTATGAAATGTTTTGACATTGTCCCTAAAAAATTTCCCCTTTCTACAGTTGAAATTATTTGATGAATTCTACTTGAATCAGTGAATAAATTTGGTCATGCCCAAAGAAATCACATTTTTGACAAATTAATTGTTCTCATAAAAATAGTTTCAATATTCCGTGAAAAGGTAAACTACAATGGATAGTCAGCCTACCAACAGTCTTTCCATGTCAGCCTACCAACAACTTTATTAAATCACCCATCTCCTCAAAGCAATAAGAAATCAGTAAGAATTGAGACCTTTAAGAGTTACTGAAAGATGCAAATTTCCATAGTGGTTTACTACAAGATTATTTGGCACAACTCTTTCTCTAATTCTGGATACTCTGTAAAAACCACAGCAGTCAAAAGGCCCTTAGGGTTGCTTAACATAATAACTTAGTGCTGTACAATACACAAATGTAGAAACGGCTGGCAAAACGTCTAAAAGTAAATATTTTGCTTGTGATGCTTTGTGTTCTAAGGTATATTTTCGTTCTCTTTAAAACACACAGACACACACACATACATAAACACAAATGTAGTTCCCTCAAATTAAAAAAAAAATAGAGCTCTCTGAAAGATGCATAAGATTACGTCTCAGATGGAGGCTGACATCAGTCAGGTCCTGCTTTGAAACCCACAGAAGTCAGTGGAAAGACCCACTGACTGCAGTAGACTTTTGGAGCACACTCTTCATGCACTGCCAGCAGGCAAGAAGCTTACCCACCCACAGCACCAGTGACACAATGACAGGCAGCATTTTTTCTTTTCGCTGTATAGATGTTTTGATATTAAACGTTCATATTTGGAAAAGCTTTTGTTTGCTGCACACACACACACACACACACACAAGCCCCTTGAATGTAAGACGTAAGCATAATCCAACTGCCAAGCTGAATATGTAATCGAATTTAGTGTTCGACAGATATGGTCCTGTTGTACACTTACTACACTAGAAAATGCAAACTACTAAATTCAAATTCTGGCTATCTTTCTGACTGTGTTGGTGGCCAAAAGCAAAACTGCTCCTCTGCTTCCATTTCCCCTTCTGTAAATAATGGCAAAGTGCTTATTTGTGTCTGTACCTGAAAATATCAGAGGAATAACAAACAAACACATAACAGTAAATTTACAAATAGATCAGTATCAAGCTACTTTTTCTTCTAATGTTGATCCCACACAAGGAAAAATATTTAGTGAAAACAGTGTTACAAACTGTTCAAATCCACATGTCATATGCAATATACTTCACATTCCTTATTAAAATTCAGGTATAAAATAAAAAATGAAAGCAAATTGCTCATTAAAAAAAAAAAAACAACAACTAGTTTTAATTATTCAGCAAAAGCTCTATGGTTCTTTCTTCCATTCTAAACAAAATGCACAAGGTACAGTTTATTTACTGTTACCTTTGCGGTTGTATTTTGTAAGCTCTCTGTGTTTTCTTGTAGGTGTCCAACACCTGGCTGCGACGGTTCTGGCCATGTGACCGGGAATTATGCATCACACAGAAGGTAAGAATTATCCCACTATTTGGGGCTGAAGTGCTCAGAGTTCTCAGCACGCAGCAGTGGAAAGAGGTTGCTTTTATTCTGTGTACTTCTTTCAGCTTGTCTGGGTGTCCTCGTGCCCGGAAAGGTGGTATCAAAGTGACTCCTACCAAGGAAGAAAAAGAAGACCCTGAACTTAAGTGAGTAGCAAAAGCAGAGGTCTACCAGCAGTGCGAGGGAAAGCAAGCAGTAAGAGCTCAGGACTTGATGCATCATAGGAAATACCCTAGTTAATCTGAGGCACAGGAGAACATGTCCTAGAGCTGGAGACAAATCAAGTGTTTCTGCTACTGGTGAAGCTGGTAGAGTCCATCACCTTGGAGCTTGAACAGTTAGGGAGGGTTGCTGTATTTGCTTTCATTGTTCCAATTATTTTAAATAGTGCCATGCAAGTGCCACTTGGTTGAGAATTTGGCAAAATGAAGGGAAACAAATAA